ATCTGTGAGATCTTATGAGTGTAAACAGAAGTTTTCCTATGTCCTACCCTGCCTGCAGCAGCTTATAAAATAGTCACTCAGAGGCTTAATATTAATTGTAAACTTTTTGGTCCATGGCTCATGCTTCTTGCTAGCTAGCTCGTTCATCTTAAATTCAACCATTTCTATTAATCTATCTATTGCCATGTGGCCATGGTACCCCCAGACCTCCATTCATTCCAGTCTCAATTTCAGGCCAGTAAGCAGGCCTCCTGCAGACAGGTCAGACTACCATCACCCCCCACCAGACCTTGTAAGCCCACAAGTCCCACCTCCCCCAAACCCCACTCACCCTCTGAGACTGCAACTGCTCCCTGAGACAGAACCCACCAGCACAATTGGACTAAAAGGTGAATCTTTGTCATCATAGCCAAGCACCCTAGCCTCTAGGCTTTGGGCCCAGGGACACAACCATGTGCCCCCACACCACCACCCATTGCAGTCCCAGTTTCAGGCAAGTAGGCAGGTCTCCTGCAGAGAGGTCAGATTACCACTATCCCCACCAAACCCTGTAATACACAAGCCCTGTCCCTCCTAAATTCACCCACCCTCCAAGACAACTACAGCTGATCCATGAGACAGAGCTCATCAGTTTCTATTGGACAAAGAGCTGCTCCCTGAGACAAAGAGTCCATCAGTTCTGATTAGACCAAGAGACCTGATTAGACCAAGAGCTTCCATTGGACCAAGAGTGTCTCCCTCAGACACAGACACTGCTTTCACTGAGTGGAGAAAGAGATGGGTAGAAACCAGTGCAAAAATACAGTCAACAAAATAAAGACCAATATGATACCACCAGAACCTAGAGGTTCTACATCAGCAAGACCTGAACATCCCAACACAGAAGAAATAGACCTTAAAAATTACTTTAAGAAGATGATAGATGCCTTTAAAGAGGAAATGAAAATTTCCCTTAAATCAAGAAAAAGACAAACAAAAAATTGGAAGAAATCAGTAAATCCCTTAAAGAAAGCCAAGAAAAAGCAAAGCATTTAAACGGGTTAAGGAAACAGTTCAAGATTTGAAAACTGAAATGAAGGCAATAGAGAAGACACAAACTGAGGGAATGCTGGAATTGGAAACTCTGAGTAAACAAACAGGAACTACAGATACAAGCATAACCAACAGAATACAAGAGAGGGAAGAAAGAATCTTTGGTGTTGGAGATACAATAGAGGAAATAGATTCATCAGTCAAAGAAAAGACTAAAGCCAACAAAGTCATAACACAAAATGTCCAGGAAATTTGGAACACCATGAAAAGACCAAACCTAAGAATAATAGGGATAGAAGAAGGAGAAGAATACCAGCTCAAAGGCACAGAAAAATATATTCAACAAAATCATAGAAGAAAACTTTCCCAACATAAAGAAGGAAATGACTATAAAGATTAAGAAGTTTATAGAACACCAAATAGAATGGATAAAGAAAATCCCCTTGCCGTATAATAATCAAACCACTAAACATACAGAATAAAGAAAAATTATAAGAGCTGAGAAAGAAAGAGGCCAAATAACAAATAAAGGCAGACCAATAAGAATAACACCTGACTTCTCAATGGAGACTCTAAAAGTCAGAAGGACCTGGACAGACATTATGTAGACACTAAAAGATTATGGATGCCAACCCAGCAAAACTCTCAATTGCCATAGATGGAGTAAAAGAACTATTCCATGATAAACCAGATTTAAACAATACCTATCCACAAATCCAACCCTACAGAAAGCACTAGAAGGAAAATTCCAACCTAAGGAAGTCAGATACACCCATGAATACACAGGCAATAGATAATCCCACACCAACAAATACCAAAGAAGGGAAACACACAAAACTACCACCCAAAATTACAGGATTTAACAATCCCTGGCCATTAATATCCCTTAATATCAATGGTGTGAATTCACCTATAAAAAGACACAGGATAACAGAATGGATATGAAAACAGGATCCATCCTTCTGCTGCATATAAGAAACATACATAAGCTTCAAAGATAGACACTACCTCAGAGTCAAAGGCTGGAAAAAGACTTTCCAATCAAATGGACTCAAGAAGCAAGCTGATGTAGCTATCCAAATATCTAATTAAAAGAGACTTCAAACTAAAATCAATCAAAAGAGATCGGGAAGGACATTAAATATTTATCACAAGAAAAATCTAAAAAGATAGAGTCTCAATTCTGAACATTTATGCCACCAATAAAAGGGCATCCACATCTGTAAAAGAAACATAACTAAAGTTTAAAACACATATCAAATCCCATACACTAGTAGTGGGAGTCTTCAACACCCGATTCTCACCCATGGACACGTCTGCCACACAGAAACTTAACAGAAAAATACAGGAACTAAGAGATATTATGAGGTATATAACAGATATTGTGGTCTTAATAGCTATCTATAGAACATTCCACCCTAACACAAAAGAATATACTTTCTTCTCAGCAACCCATGGAACCTTCTCTAAAATCAACCACATGCTCAGTCACAAAGCAAATCTCAATAGATATAAAACAATTGGAATAACTTCCTATATTTTATCGGACGACTATGGCTTAAAGTTAGATTTCAACAACAACAAAGTTACCGAAGGCCTACAATCTAATGGAAACTGAGTAATGCCCAAACTGAATCAACAATGAGTCAAGGAAGAAATAAAGAAAGAAATTAAAGATTTCCTAAAATTCAATGAAAATGAATATACAACATACCCAAACTTATGGGACACAAAGAAAGCAGTGCTAAGAGGAAAATTCATAGCACTAAATGCCCACATAAAGAAGTTGGAGAGAAATCTCACAC